AACATCTCTTGCTCAATAAACAGATTTTATCATACAAAAATGAGTCATCCTTCAACCCAAGAACAATGCCTTCACATTTGTGACCTTTATGCTTGTGTTGTCCAGTTATCCTCTTTCGACTTTAATTTAAATTGAACACCTTCTATTTTGATATTGGCTGTGACTTGAAGTCACATGACTTCATACATTAAATAAAGTTGACCAAGTTTACAGTACAATAAGGTATTCAATTTTTTTTAAAATTTAGTTAAGTAGCTTGCTATAATGATTGCTTTGCAGAAGCATGAGCTTTTTCCACTTCTTTTTGTACTTCAAACATCTTTTTCTAGTTTTGAGAAATGATTTCCTGCTTGTGAATTAGTTGTTTAACCAACAAGTCCTGTGTTTTAGTATGTGAGATAATTTTATTTGATTCCAGAAAAGTTGAAGACTATAATTCCTCCTCGTTCTGCCTCCTCTTCCTCATCATTTTTCCTCAAATCCATTAAATAAATTTTCAATGATCAGATCTGAATTTAGCTCTTCAATATCTGTATTCTCATGGACAAGTAATTGTTCTTTGAAATTATAAACTGCTTGTGGGTTTATTATGTCATATCTCTTTATGATTGTTGTTGGTAACCCAAAGGAAATTTTTTATTCCCAAATCAGTGCCATCATTGCTTGGTAAGCCAATTTGATGAAAGCATTTCAAAGATGTCATTCTGAACAGTAAAGAACCAATATATAACATCAAAAATTGTTGTGAGTCTTTAACAGATGCTGAAGAATCTTTAAAGCAGAAGATTCTTTAGCATAAAGTATTTTTTATTGGAAAATATTAAAAGCTAGGCTTAACATCACATTTTCTCTAAAAGAATGATTGATTATATTTTCCAACAATATAATAACATTCTAATAAATACATTAAAATATAAATATGACTTTTACAGAGGTAAAACCTTGCTTTTGTCATTCTTTTTGCCGTTTACATCATCAGCAGTCCTTAAACAATTCACAAAGTTACAGAGACAATCTTCCTTTTAAGGCTACTGCCTCTGCAAAAAGATGTAAAATCAGGTAAACCCTCTGGTGTTCTTGCCACTGTTATAATATCACATTTTAAGTTAAAGTGCCAGCCATGAACTTCTATTATTTTTTACTTAAAATGTGATATTATAACAGTGGCAAGAACGCTTTACCTGATTTTACATTTTTTTGCGGAGACAGTAGCCTTAAAAGGAAGGTCGTCTTTGTAACTTTGTGAATTGTTTAAGGACTGCTGATGGTGTGAACTGCAAAAAGAATGACAAAAGCAAGGTTTTACCTTTGTAAAAGTCGTATTTATATTTTTATGTATTTATTAAATGTAAGTAATGCGGCCATGTACTTCTATTATTTTTTTACTTATAATAACATTCTTTCGTAAGAGGAAGTTGGATGATCAGAAACAAAGCAATAGGCTATACCTCTATGCCAAATTGCATTGTTTCTAATCATTAAAGTAGCCATAATTTAGTCTGGTAAAAATTCAGCAGGTGGTTTGGAAATTGTTGTATTGGGTTGGCTGTTATTTATATACAGTATATAAGTGGGTGGACAGTAGATTGAATAGGATTTGTGTTATGTTATAACTATGGTGTTTGTGTTATATTTTTATGGTGTTTTTTTTATCATTTTTTTAATCCATTTATTATTATATATATTAAAATTTTACTGTTCACCTACTTTTGGTTTACCCTGTATTTCAAAGTCTTTATTCAAATATGACATATTTAAATATTTTTATAAAATTAATAAAAATAAAATTTTTGATTAATAACAGTGTTACAAAAAATGTTGAACAAATTTAGTGCCAGAGAAAAATGCAATTAAAATTTAAAACTCTATTGAAAAAAATGCAAGAAATTATGATAATTATAATTTTGCTGAAATTTTTGCAGACTGGGGTTCCATATATGTTGTGTTACATTGCCAAGTTAGGGACATGGCCTTGAGACAGCTTCAAATCTAAAAATTTCATGGAGTAATGCTAGGCAAACAAGGTCACCATTCAAGTGGCAATAAGTAGCCAATTACTCTTTCTTCAGTAAAGTGATGCTATAGAACAGGGGTGGCCAACCTGCGGCTCGTGAGCCACATGCGGCTCTTTGAAGGATTATTTGTGGCTCTCGATAAATGTACCTGAGTTCCCTTTTCATTTTTGTGTTATTATATTTTTAAAAATTATTATCGTTTGTATGTGTTTCAAAATGTCTTTTAAATTACTAACAACAAATATGAAAGACTAAGTGCAACGTTGTAACAAATTTCATTACCGTCCAAGTTAAGAATGATATGACTCATTGAAAACTGCGCGAACGAACATAAACAGTGGCGTAATCGTCCGTTATCGACCGACTCCAGACCGATTTTGAATTTGTAAACTGTCATTGCAACGGACAGTTGACATTGTGCTCTGGAGGAAACAATTTGTATCACTCTTGCTACGGATATAATTTGTAATCTGGAATTTTTTGCATACCTTTTTAATACGTATTTAATTGCGGCTCGCGAAAAATTTCAAATTTTGAAAAATGGCTCGGACTATCAAGGAGCTTGGCCACCCCGGCTATAGAAGCTGCCACACTGGTCATGCAATGTGAAGTGGTGCTCCTTGAATAAAAATCTTCCTTTTCAGATACTTCTATTTTGCAGTTGCAGAATATTGAAACTGTAAAGTATATTGTACTTCTCTTCAGTAATGGAGCATATCTCTGCACTTGTCAGATGAATTTTCTCAAAAAGATTATCATATTATAAAGGTTGAGTGAAAATGTACTAAATGGTGACTTCAATACAACATGCTGATCAGCATCTGAAGCTCAAATTCAACAGTTCTGGATGTTTACAGTCTATTCAAATAAAACTGGGCCTTGTCTCCTCTCAAAATGTTCAAAAGTGAAGCATTTTCAACTTCCATTCTTGTCAAAGAAAAGTTAGATCAAATGACAATCTGTTTTCTAAATTTCCTTATTGTAACTGCCATCCTTATTGCATCTTGGATAAAACTGAAACACTTTGAAAAAGATCTCTTACTGTAAAAATAGTATATTCAATTGCCATTTGCAGTGCTATAATCAATGACAGTATCCAGCAATCTGTTGACAATGACTATTGCAACTTCATCTTTAAAGAAGTTGCTTCAGATGGAACAGATTTCTGTCCTCTTCTAGGTCTAAACGTCAAAGATGTTGTTTTCCTCAAATGTTTAAATCATCACTGTAACTGCAGGAGCTGAGGGAGGACCTGTCAACAAGTTCTTAACAGCATCTAAACTCACAAAACGTTGCTGCTGCATTATATCTATTTTGGTAAAATAACTTCACAATTAATGTATGATAAGGAAAGTTAGATATATGTTCAGAACAATTATCTGTAAGAATATTTTCTCTCTTAGGAGAGTGACTAAAACATTTATGGGCTTTAGAAATCAACAAAAGAAGAAACAAATCAGTTTTATGTGAAGTTTCTACATCTTTAAGTCAAAAGTGTTTTTATTGGAGAATTTTGGAAGTAAAATTTTCCATAAATTTTATTTCCATGCCATGAATACCCAAAAAATTTTTGATCTAACAATTGGAATGTCACCAAGTGCCAGAAGTACCAGATAGGGAAAGTTTAATTTGGGTAGTTAGTGTATAATAGACTTGCATATATAATGTTTTAAGACGTTTCTTTATAAAATGTTAATATTATACAACATATTCACCTTATTGCTGAGAATCATTTTTACTACTAATATTCAATGAGTCTGAGTGTATGTTGAAATGTTAATATTACAAAATTCTTTTAGGAATTTATGGCTTTTAGTTGTCATTTTTCTGTTTTCTTATATTGAAATTTTATAAGAAATGAAGAATAATTTTTCACTTTTAAAATTATTTAGCTTGCATATTTTAAGGCAAATAGAAAAATTGTTGTAGATGTAGAAATAAAAACATATAGAAATACTATATTTTATTTAACTATTTATGACATTTTCAATGATTATTAAAATGATTAGTCTTTAGTTTAAAAATCAGATTTTTGGGGAAAAAAAAAACAGTTGCTCCTATTATTTGAAATTAGTTTTTCATTACATATGGAAAATATCAATATTAATATGTTATAAATTCATATAACATAAATATTAACTAATTTGTCTGAATCCTTATCTTTTGTGAGTTTTTTAAAAATTGGTTTTCATTATTAATTGACTGTGTAAGATCTAATTCAATAGTAGGCCTAAGTAGTCTTTTTAAAAACTTGTTTGATTTTTGATCTATATGCTTAATATTTTTGATGAAGTTCTAACAACAGAAACAAGAATTTCTTAAAATGTTTTAAGAAGCTTTTATTTTTGCCTTCCAGAATCAGAACTGGCTATTTTAGGAACATTAACTTTTAATGAAATTAATTGATGAATATATATATAAATTATTTTATCATCATCATCATCATCATCTATTATAAATAACTTAAAAATTCTTACAAAATGATATTTACAAAAAGAGAATATTTTCTCTGTTGAGGGTGTGATACAAATGGTTAAGGGTGATAACAAATATGCAGGTTTAATATACAAATATAAGGAAATAAAGCAAAATAATCATAAATATTGGTAACATACATTCATATAATAGTAACTTGTCTATAATGATAGTAGCATGTACATAAGCAATCAAAAATATTATACAAAAGAATAAAAGTAAGGAACATTTCTATAATTTAATTATTCATAATTAAATTTTTCAGATATTTTAACAAAGTAGTTATATATTTTGTACAAGTTCTTTTTATTGAGATTATTTAGACTTATTCTAAAATCAAGTGATGAGTTAACAATTACATTAAATTATTTTATTATAACTTGAGTAGTATTAGCATAGTAAATATTTTTGCATAAAGAATTGTTTCTGAAAAGATTATTTGATTATGATAGATTAAAAAAAAATCTATCTTGAACTTTGTTTATTGAAAGAATCATTTATTTCTTAAAGAATCTGATATGTGTAGATCAAGCACATGCCGATATGGTTGTCAACCTAGTCCAAAGGGTCCATTGTGTTACTGTCCAGAAGGCTCAACTTACAATGGAACACACTGCCTTGGTATTGTATTATTATTTTATTTATGTATATATATATTATTGCTGTTGATTTATTTATTTGAGGTGTAAAATGGTTTTGATAAATATTTGTCATTTATAGATATTAAAATCCCATCCTCATTTTTGCTTTATACTACCTACAAACCTTTTGCCATTAAGGGTGTTGAACTTCCAGCAGAAGGTACACATCCTAGTGAAATTATTTTGCCAATATATACAACTGGACAAATTTCAGCAGTTGCTTTTGATGTTAAAAATAATAACATTTATTATTGTGATATTGTGGATCAAGCAATCTATCGTCAAAATTTAAAGTCATCTCAGAAAGAAATATTTCTAGAAGGTTAGTAAATGTTAAATAATAAATTAATATATATTAATAATAGTAAATTCTGTTTAAAATATTGTATTTCAGGAATTGAAAAATGCAGTGGATTGACCATTGATCAAATGGGAGAAGCTATTTATTGGTCTGATTCTAGTATTGGCTCTATAAATGTTGCTAGTCTGTATAATTCCTCCGTCCAAAAGAACTTGTATCAGCTAAAAGGAGCACAGCCAAAAAATATTGTTCACATAATAGGGTAAGATAAACTTATATAAGTTAATGAATAATTTAAAAGAATGGTATATCCTAAATATGAATAATACTTTAGTTCTTCAATTCTAAGACACGTCACGAATTTGAAATTGAATTTTAAGATTTTTTTTTATGAAGGGGAAAAATTATAAAACAATTAGTTTTAGCTTAGAACAGCGATTCCCAACTTGGGGTACGCGTACCCCTGGGGGTACGTGATAGGTTGTTTAGCAGTACAGAAAAAAGTTAGTTATTATGGCAGAAAAAATAATATATTATGTATCACAAATTAATAGTATTAAAAAATTATTAGGTAAAAATTGTTTTTTGCAACAATCACAAACTTTATTATACATTTCAAAATGCAAAAATAGAAATAAAAACTAATACATAAAGTAAACTAATGCCGATTGTACAATGTAACATATCAATAAATGTTGCGCAGTCAGTCAATGGTAGTGGGGACACCATTATGCATGATTAGTGATTATGCTACGGACTTTTGATGGTGGGGTGTGTTACTGTTATTATTGTTATCTCTCAACAATATCCCCATGTATTTTTTGAGTATTTTTTATTCTTAGCAAAGAAAAGGACATAGCTAGTTTCTCCAGATTTTCTGTATAAGTGGTAATTTTTTTCGTTATTTATTCAGTATTTTTATTAATTTTTTATTGACAAGACTATATCTTGTTTATAAAATCGTACTGCCTGCTGTGTTACCAGCTTAGAGGTATGAAGGAGTACATGTCAAAAGTTGCAATTTGGCACAAAGTATTAGGTGCCCAAATCATGCACGCATAAAAAAAAACAGACTTGTTCACTGGACCGAGAACAGAGTCAAGATAAAATTCAAAATTGCGACACACACTACAAACAGGCAGTGCGAGATTTGCACATGTGTTGCTCGTTGAGAAGTTGGAAATGCCATGGGTGTACGCTAATGAAAAAAGGTTGGGAACCGCTGGCTTAGAATTTTGTTAAGTAAAAAGTTAAAGAAACAATACATTTTTTTCTATTTCCATGCTCTTTTGCTTGTACAATAATTTTTCTTTGAATGTGGTATCATAATGTCATCTTGAAGGTTTCTTTTATGTTAAAAAGAAGTTAAAATTAACTGCTCATTACCAACAAAACTCATTTGAACTGATGTGAATGTTGATCAGAATAGTTGAAAACCTGAATTGATACACTGTGTTGTCTAGGCAATGATTGCTATTTGTTTTGGACTATAAATGTAAGATATCATCAATTCTAAGATGGATCTCCACTTTGGACAAGTAAAAATAGGTAAATTGTCTTAGAATCAAGGAAATATACTAGTACATAAGTCAAATAATTAATATAATTCATTAAAATTTGTCTACTAATACAACATTTCAGATAATATGAATATCTTAATAAAAACAATAGTAATTATTATAATTTATGAAACATTTTTGGTTTTTCTATAAAATATCATCTCATGAAAATAATTTTGATTTTATGTGAAAAATAATGAAGTTTATTCTAATTTAAATTTGTTTCAAGCTTAATGAATCAGTTCAAATTTCTATTGTATACATTCAGTTGTATTCATTGTAAATGAAAGATGACTGTATGGAAATGGTCAAAAAATGATGTTAAGAAATTAGAATAGGCTACATTTATGTTGTGGCAGTATGCCATATTTTTTGTATAATTTTAAGTTCATATTTCATTTCTTTTACTCCTGTCTCTCTGTCCATTCTTTCTTTGTTCTATTGTTTCCATACTTCTAAGAAATTCTGACCTAACCCTTTTCCACCAGAATGTGGGGAGTTAACAATGAGCTATAGGAAGCCCCAAGGCAAAATCTCATTTCAGATTTTCATTCTTTGGTCAAATATGGAAGAAGCAAGTCACAGATGAGCAAGGCTTTGAGTTCTTGAGATCGACTAGAGCTGGTGAGTCAGGCCTCGGAATAGGAGACCTATGAGAAATTAAGAAGCAAGACTTGTGAATTGTGATTTCTCTGAGGAAGATAAATCTTTCTCAGAGAAATCACAATTCAGAAGAGAATATCCATTAGGCCCAGAGGTTAGAAATGAGAAATCACACCAAGTTATTCATCGAGAAATTGGTTACCCCTGTCCTATCAATTTTTCCTCATTGTTCCTTCAATATCTTTCTATCTACACATCTGTCTTTAAATTAGCTTTTAAATAGGTTAAGATTTGATTTGTGATCATAGGATACGTATTATTGTATGATTAATTGTATAGGATTGGTAATTGTAATGGAGTCTGTTTTAAATATCTTGTATTGTTATCACAGAGAAACCTGGGAAGTGTATAAAGATCGGGACCTGTAAATAATCTGTTCTATTGCAAAATTAAAGTTGTTCCTTGGATATCACACTTTATTATTATTCCTTTTGCATTGAACATCTTACAATGTATCTTATGTTATACTGCATGGAAAATACTATAAATAATAAATTTTATATCAAGAAAATAATAAACTGAAATAAATAATTCATAAATAAATTTAAAATACATTTTTTTAATTTATAAGCCAATTTATAAGTGTTATAACTTGAATGTATATAATTATTTTAGGTATATGTTCTGGATTGATAAAAATAAAATAAAGATGGCTGCAATGGATGGCAGTAATGAGTTCATACTTGTTGAAGCTGAATCAGACATTTTTAGTTCTTTAACAGTATTTAATCACAACCTATATTGGTTTAATTCAGCATCTCAACAAGTAGAAGGAATTGATATAGACCGAATCAAACAGCGAGTAAGTTTTTCTTGTCATTTTATTATCATTTATTGCCATTTAATTATATTTTAACTTTCCAATTAGTTATAAGAGTAATAATTGTTGTTTTATTGTGTTATTTTTCAGGTAATTTTAGACAAACTGAATATGAATATTAAAAGTATGATTATGACAGATGATTATATATATTGGACTGAAACTTCTAAAGGAATTCTTCATATGAAAAGTTTGAAAAATACATCTAAACATTCTTCTTTCTTTCTTGAAAATTTACCTATTCATATAACATATGTTCATATAGCAAATGGAATAACATGTAAGAAACATTTTCAATTCTAATATTTTTTTTATTTATAAATGTTGATATCAATTTAATATTAATTATTTTTAGCCAGAAACAGTTCACAAGATTGTGTTAACTGTGATCTATGCCTTCCAATGCCTTATTCCCAAGTTCAGAAATTTAAATGTATTTGCCAAGAGGGCTTCCATTTTGATAATGAAACTAGAAAATGCAAAGGTAAAAGCTTTAATTACTTTATTAGTTTTTTAAATATCAAATTAACAGTTCTAAATTAAAATTAATCTTATAACTGTATTGTTTTTATTCTTTAAAGACTAAATTTACTAAAGATACATTATTAATTTTGAGAAAACATTCAGTATGTGTCTAATCAAAATGAAAAAGTAATAGCATGAAAAAAAAATTGATAATTGCATAGAAATTTTGCACAAAATGTTGTTATAAAATTTACTGTATTGGCCTAAATATTAGTTGATATTTTTTTCAGTTTTAAAAAAGCAAAAAATTGCTTTCAGCCTATATTAGAATCAAATTAAAGTTTCCTTCAATTTTGATAATTGTTGTTTTATGCAGAGGATTTGTTTGGAGGAGGTAATCCCTTCTTTTTTAGAACATTACCTTAAAATATACAGAATTTTGATAACTATGGTACATGTAGTGCAGAGTTAAACTGAAGCTGGAATTCAGTATGCCAATTGTTTAGTGATGTTAAATGTCAGCTAAGTTGTGACCTATTATGCTGCAACTCTCAAACTATGAGCAAGAACTGAGTATTTGGCATACTTGTAAATAATTGATTAGTCAATTGTGTTTTTGAACAATTATACTAGTACATAAGTCAAATAATTAATATAATTCATTAAAATTTATTTGTCTACTAATACAACATTTCAGATAATATGAATATCTTAATAAAAACAATAGTAATTATTATAATTTATGAAACATTTTTGGTTTTTCTATAAAATATCATCTCATGAAAATAATTTTGATTTTATGTGAAAAATAATGAAGTTTATTCTAATTTAAATTTGTTTCAAGCTTAATGAATCAGTTCAAATTTCTATTGTATACATTCAGTTGTATTCATTGTAAATGAAAGATGACTGTATGGAAATGGTCAAAAAATGATGTTAAGAAATTAGAATAGGCTACATTTATGTTGTGGCAGTATGCCATATTTTTTGTATAATTTTAAGTTCATATTTCATTTCTTTTACTCCTGTCTCTCTGTCCATTCTTTCTTTGTTCTATTGTTTCCATACTTCTAAGAAATTNTTAGATCTCTGATAACAAATACAAATATGCATATTGAAGTAAAGGTTGGAATGCATCCATTTTGTATTTGAATTGGTCTTGTGAGTGGAAATGTACAGTACATGTGATGGAGTGGCAGTCAGTTTACTATCAACAGCCCTCTTAATCTTGTCCTTTTCTTCTGTAATGTAAAGAGCCAAGAAATGGACAGAGCTTCTATAGATCTGTTTGATGTCCAGCATCACTCTGTCATTCTGGTTTATGCTTTCAACAAATTCTTTATGTACAGTACTTTTGGCTCATTTCATACCACCAGCATTTCATCTACATATTTACATGTAGCAGTAATGTATCTACTATATGCCTGAACAACCTGATTCTCTACAAACATTAAGCATAGCTCATCAAATTTTTTTATACTAGACAGCCAATTGGAGCTTCTCTTGATTATGAATGAAACTTTCAATTCATAGTAAAGTATGGGGAATAAACCACAATATGTATAACCTGTAGTATACTTTTGTCTTATTTGTTTCTCATAGCATTATACAACAACCTTAAAAAACATGCCAGTATACAAGCCAATTAAACATAGACCAAAAATATTTAATATAATGAGTGTTTTTGTCTGTATCAATCAGACATCTTCAGGTTACATAAGCCTATTGAAAAACAGAAAACTAAATTGAATACAGAACTCAAATTGAATTTTTAAATGCCTGAGGTTCAGGTATGTATTATACCATACACAGAGAATGTATATTATAAAGAAAGAAAAATGTTATGTAATTAATAAAAGAATATTTTGATTAATAAACTTGAGAGTATACATGTAGTGATTTTCTATAGTTCAAACCATACTCTCCATGCCATTGATAGATTGTCTGATTCTCTGAAGTTGACAGCAGTCTGATTGTTCATGACCTTTTAAATTTCTAGAGACTCCAAGTATTTTAAACAGGCTGGATCTGTTGTGCAGTGTAGAGTCAGGTATCATCATAAGCAACCAGAACATTGTCATCACTTGTGTATGGGACCAGAGCACTTCTATATAGTTTTTTTCTAATACTATATTTATATTCATTAATGCAAGTGCTCAAGAACCTCTTGGTAACTCCAACATATACTAACAAATGGTCAGTCTTATCTTTGGGTCATGTAGGAGAATAGCATATATTTCTGCCAAATATAATCCTCTACATATTTGCCATTCCTTAACAAAGAGAAGATGATAGGGCTTCCCCTGTATGTCAACCTGATATTATATTAAAAATTTTGAGTGTTTTTTTAAGTGGTTTGTATATACTGGTGTGTTTTAGATAATATACAGCCTTAATGTTAAAACATATGACATTTCCAATTTCAGAGATAAAAATAAGATTTTTTAGTTTCCCATTACCATAAGCATCTTGTATTTCAATGGGTGTAGGTACTTTATTCTTTCCATCATCTGAAGTGGGCAATTGACTATGTAAGGATTTTTCATTATGTAGGTCTTGAGCATAGTGAATTTCTCTTCTGTCATGATGTTAGGAACCATATCTCCACAACTGGTCAAACAGGCCAGTAAGGAATTATGAGCTAATGACAACTCAAAGAACATGGGAGGAATCTGTTTATTTTGTAGCTGAAAAGAAAACTCGGGTCAAAAAGTTTTTGTATTGTGTATCGCTTTGGTTTTTCTGAACCATGCTGGAGTGTAAGATCTTTTGTGCAGTAAAATTGCATCTACTGCTGTAAGATGCATCATCAACTTCCTGAGGTATTTCTCCTTCCTAATAATTATTGGAATTTTGAATTTATCTGACATTGTGATCACCAAATTATTCTGATCTCTACAGTGTCTAATAACCTCAAGTAATTTGTGTACAAAGCTGGTGAAGGTCATGCTCCTTTCTTCTGTTTGGTGGTTGTTCTTAAGTCCCTTGTGACTGACCATTTTATTGCTTGCAGTGACCTATAAGCTTTGTCTATTTTTGTGCATTTCCATACTAGCTTCAAATAATTAAGTTTCCAGTACACATTTATGCCCTCTTGAGAATAGAATTTGACCATTTTTAGGAAGAAATTACTGTTTCCAATCTTGAACATTTTTGATATATCGTTACCCTTTGATATTGTAGAAGTTGGTGTTTAAGAATCCATTTAATCTTTTTGACATACTTTGATCTTATTCTGGTCTGCCAGAAATTAATAAAATTCAAAATGTTTTATTGCATTAGGACTTAATTAAAATGTAGATTCCTGAAAAAGATTAACATTTTTATGTTGTGTAATGTTCCTGCTGAGTCAATGATAATGAATAGAAGATATTTATTTTAGAAAGTTCGATATTTAATTTTTTCAAAAGAGGAGAAGCAGATGTTCAAACAGGTAAAGCATAATCGTAGCATGGAGGTATTTTTTTGGAAACAGTTTTGACATTATGCCAAATCATTTCTCTGCAAGTGTAAATATTATAAGATGTGTGCATTTAGATTAAAAAATATAATACATTATGTATTTATTCATTTTCAAACTGATATATTCAATTGATTTATAATAGTTAAGCTGTAGATGATTTGTATTAAAACTAAAAACTTGCATTTTGAAAAATTTCTATAAATTTTCTTTTTTTATCACTGATACATTATAATATACAATTTAAATCATTATATGGAGATCTGAATTAATTAATTTTAAATTGCATATTTTAGTTTCTTTACTAAACAAATGTGGAAGTCAAGATTACCAATGTGCTGATGGAACATGTATTCCTGAAATTTTTATTTGTGATGGCCAGCAAGATTGTATAGATGATGAATTTGAAGAAAGGAATTGCAGTAAGTTTTATTCAGATCTATAATAATTTTAATTGCATAAATTTTAAAAAATAATTTATTTCTTTTCTTAAACATAAGAAACATCGTGCTTATATCCACATCATAGTTGTGATAATGGAACTAAATGTATAAATAGACAAGAAATATGCAATGGAAAATATGATTGTGATGATAAATCAGATGAAGTGGAGAGATGCTGTAAGTTTTTTAAAATAATAATTAATAAAATTATTCTATATAATTTAAAGGAAAGAACAGATGAAATATGAAAATCTTAAAAATAAAAATATATTACTTTAGGTTTATTTTTAACTTTAAGAACTGTTTATATGAATTTTTATAAATTGTTGGACTGCAATTTGAAAAAATTGTAAACCTATAAATTTCCCACTGTCTTCTGTCCTTCCTTGATCTCGAAAATGGAGTTAGATAGATGAAAGATGAGACCAGATATGGAAACCTTAGGGGCAGGAGGTCCCAATTAACTATATGTGAACGTCTGATGCAAACTGAAAGTCATTATTTCAATTTAAAATTTTCCATTGAAAGGAGTTAATGACTGGTATGACTTGATTGCTACAGGAAAAGTATGATGTACAGGAGCAAGATGCTGTTAATTTGAAGGAGGAGAGCATACATTTTAAATTAAATAAATTAAAAAATATGATTGTCATAATGCAGGGCTGCAATTTTTAATCTCACAATAACATGATTGTTTGTTATATTCACATCATTTTAATGATGTAAATATAACAATAATTTTATTGTGAGATTAAATAAACAAACAATCACTTTCTAGATTATATTTACATCATTAAAATGATGTAAATATAATCCAGAAAGTAATACATTCTAAAATTTTGAATGCGGAAAGAATCTTAAACTGTTAATTTCATCTGAGTATATAATTTATTTAAAAAAATGTAATACAAAGGAACTAAAATTTTATGCATTTAGTACTACATTAATATAGTCTTTAGCAGTGGTGAGATTCAAGTAATTTTGCTGCAGTCAGTTCTCAGCTAGGGTTGTCAACTTTCAGAGCAAACAATTCTGAACAGAATGTGAAAAAATGATGAGTGAAAGAGAATCTTCTTTCTACAAACTTGGAAACATTTTTTCTTTCCCTTCATGATTGTGATGTTGAGACAACCAAATGGCCAGGTGTCATCCTACAATCTGGGATAGAAGTTGGGGATCCAGGATAGAATTTGGGTGAGCACTCCAGGAATTTTTAATTGGAGAACTGTTTTTGATATGTTGGGTTCCCCATCTCTTTCTACTCTGCCACCTTCTATGTGGGCCTCACTGAACCCACAATGGGTATGATTAAAACAGGCCATTTTAGTGTCCACAGAGCAAAATAAAAAAAAATGAAATGGGGAAAACACTTTCCATCAAAAATGCAAGTACAGTAGACTCTCAGTAGATGACAGATAAGTTCCTTGAGAGTTACTATTAAAAATAGGCCTAACTAATATTATATCCCATAATATACCATACCAAAAACTGTATATTGACTTGATATTAATTTTGAAATACAGTAATTGAAAGAAAATTAAGACAAATAAAGACAAACATAACTTAATGTAACATCAGCTTTATTTTTAAAAAAACAGCTTTTGAAGGTAGTGTGCAATTTTAGTTAAATGACAATAAACTTTTCAACTTAATGAACTTCACTAATGCTTATTTGGAACCTGTTTTGGCATACTTAGGATTGGGTAAGAATACAAAATTTGAACAACAATAGATCCCAACTAATCAATATGTTTATAAATGGTGAATTGGCAGAAGTGGGAGACAAATATATGTATGAAGCTTATGCTTACTCACAGCATGGTGTGCTAAGCTTAAATTTACATTTCTGCTAGAAATTGATTTTATTTTAATTTTTATTTAAAGTATTATTTCTTTGATTTTTTGCCAGTTGTTTGAAAGTGCTCATTTCTCGAGTTAAACTATAGTTAACAATAGTTAACAGAGAGTCTGCATAACAATTACAGATGCCAACTTCTCAGGAAGAAAAAGGGATGAGCTAAAACAAAAATACACAATTCCTCATTTAATTTTTATGGCATTTTTGAACAGTTTTTGTTTACCAAATAATTTTTAAAAAACAACTGAAGTTCCATATAGTTTAGAAAATTCTGAACAGTTGGCAACTTGTATTTGCTGCACTGATGACTGCTATATATATATATGTGTATGTATATATTATAAAATTGTATATATATTATATATATAATTTTATAAATATAATATATATATATATACAGTATTATTTTTAAAGAGCAAAAATAACGTCTTTAATAACACGTTTACGATGCCGAAAACGTCTCCTCCCATCTTCAGCCAAGCTTAAGAAACTGTTGCTGTTATTCCTCCATTAATATCCCACTAAACATAATTTAAATAAAGTTATACACGTTATATGCTATCCGGATTTTTCATATAATATATATATATATAAAATTTTTAAACCGTTTACACCAACGTTAATTTTCTAAGTTGAGTTATTGAAACATTAATTTTTAAACGAGTTTTGCGGTTGTTATCGCCGTTAAAGTTAATACCTTTATGTAACTAATATTTTTAATATATTATTAAGCAGTTTTCTTACTTTATTTTTCTGTGTGAAATTAATTTTCCTTCTCCTCCTTATTTTATTTTTAAGTTTTATAAATTTACGCTTCGTTACTCTTTAGAGGAGAGCGTAAACGTTATACGTGTTTTTAATGAATTTTGATGTGTCCTAGCTTTTTTTTTATCATATATACTTTTCTTTATTGCCTTTAAACTGTACAGTAAGTATGAACTGTATGATTGTACATAATATGATCATACAATGAGTATATGGCCTATAAACTATAGCATATAAGCTTATAAAGAATATATTATTTATATAGGATTCTAGGTGATTTAACGAAGCGTATGATCTATAAAATATAAAATCTTATAGCAAAGAGTTGTGTAACTTTCCCGGATAAAAAAGTTAAAACTTTGTGTGGCGCCATCTGTTGTGTGATTTTATTTAAAAAGTTTTTTATATTATTAATTATTATAAATGGCAAAAGGTAATATTAAGGATAGAGATGAGTTTTATTTTTAAAAATTGTAAATGCTAATAACGAGTAAAATCATTAATTCCGACCCCACTCGAGATATGACACGTGTCCCCCTCTCTATTTTCTCACTCAGTAGATCCTTACCCATCAAAATTTAATCGCATCAATCCTCCTAATACAGAAACCTTCCTGAAAAATTTCAGAAATTTTCGACAAAAGGAACAGGAGTTATTAAGCTTCTGTTTCTTTTGTCCATAAAACCCAGAAGCATTTCTAGAAAAGTGTAAAAAAATCTCTGTAATTATTGAGGAGCTCGGTAATTTCCATACAGAATACGCTAATTAATGTGGTAGAACGCACGCACGTTTACAAGCTTCGATAACATCCCCACAAAAGTATTGTTTGTACGATTTACAGAGCTTCTGTTTAAGCTTCATTTTACGTGTCTACTAAATTAGTGCTTCAAGTTTCGTTTCTATAAGCCTCTAACTTGTTTTCTCACGAATTTCAGCTGTTTATATATCCTTTTTTTTATTACCCAAGACATTCGAGATTCGTCTAAGGAAAACCAATTCACACGAAACTTTATTCTATAGAATGGAACCCATTACCGAGATTTTAAATAACACCAACTCGACATAATTTCGATTTTATAAAAATTCACAATCCATCTTCCGTTATTTCCTTATGGGAAATTTTTCAGAAAAATTCTTCATATTCTAAACGTTTATTAAAGCAAATTTCCGATAGTTTAATTTTCGAATTTTCCATTGTTTCGCCATTGTAAATTAAACTTCATTAAATTCTGCATTTGGCATTATATATAATTTCGAGCTCGACGTCACACGGTTCATTACAAATATCAAATTCGTGTGTATTTACACAGAATAAAGCAGTTAAAGTTTATAATTCAGTAACGTAAAAGTATATTAATCATTCTTCTCTGTCTCCCTTTTGGAAGAAAAAAANTAAAATAAATGTTTAGTCTCAGATTATGGTATATCTTTAATTTTCTCAATAGATATACCACCTTGCAAACAGTGGGGAAGATGTAGCCAAATATGTCATACTTTTAATACTTCTTATGCTTGTGATTGCAAGTGGGGATATACTCTTTCTTCAGATAAGTTCACATGTATAAGTAAAGGTAAGTAAAGAAAACATGTAATAATAATTTTGAAACTTATAGATATTATGATAAATTAAGTTTCAAACTGATAAAATGATTTTGATTGAAAAGAAATTTTACACAAATATTTGGTCTAAATTTAATTCTGAAAAGAAAAAAATTTTGAACATAGAACAAACATCTGTAATGTGATATTAGAATGCATTATTTCTAAAATGTATATTTACATTATTTTATCTATATATATATATATATATATATAAATGGACATGTATGTCCCTATATTTCACTTTTCCGCCAAAACTACACATCGCACGTGAATGGTGTTTGTATGTGGTGGTAGCCCCAAGTCTCCATTCGTGCATAGGGGTGGTTGCGTCTCGATAGCTATAAGGGTGCGGGAGATATGAGGCTGAAAGTGGTTGAAAGTGGCTTTCTATTTTGAATGTTTTGTTCAAATTTGTTCGAATTAAATTCGAACATGAAATTCGAATATTGGTTCGATTATAGAACGATTGTAAACGTTCCAGAAACGTTGAAAATAGTTCGTTTGACTAAATGTACAAATTCTCTAATTAGTCTGGAAACGGGGGACCTAATTCTTGAATTCTGTGAAAATGGGTAAGATTAGCTATAATGTAATTATCTTAATCTTCACTATCGTTACTTTTTGCCCAGCGAAGCGGGTCCTTGCAGCTAGTTCTAAATAAAATTAAAACAAAAATTAATTATTGACTGATATAGAAGTTATCCATTTTAATATCTGATATTCAGTTAAGATATCAAATTTTCAAAAATTCTTAGGCTTTTAATACACAGTTACATACATATAAAACAATGATATTAAAATTCACATTTACTTAAATTCACAGAAATCAATTTTCTTAATCCTCAAGTACTTTATGTATCTCTGGCACCATTATCTTACTGGTACTATTCTTTAATCCTGATGTAATACTGTGATTAATTAATAAAAGTAAAATAAAAAATAATTAAATTTGAACATGACACCAATAGCATGGGATGAGATATGTTTAACACAGTGTACTTCTTTATGATGGCAATAATTTTTAAGTATTTTTTATGAAAAATTATATAAAAAAATGCACAAATAATTTTTTTGCATACCAAGGAACCTAAATTTTAAAATGGTATCAAGTTTTGCAAGTTTTTTACTTCTATTTTCAATATATTTAAAAAATACAACCCTATTTGGTTTTTTAAAATTTATTAAAAAGTAACAAATATTAATACATCGCAATGTATTTATGAAAAAATAAGGGAAAAAAGTTTATAAAATGATGATAAAATCTCTATTTAGCTATTTTATCAAGAAAATTCAAAAAAATTTTTAACACAATTCATTAATGTGCAAAGTTTCTGTGTAGTAGGAACAAGTGAAAATTTTAACCTGACAAGAAATTCCAACAATTAAATATTGTTGCAAACAATTTTGAAATAAAAACAGATTTACTTTTCAGGTTTTCTAAAGCCCTGTTTTGTTTATTTAAATTGAAACTTCAGGTCAATAATCAAAACAGCTTAACCCCTAAAATGTATCTGCTGGCAAGCCAGACAATTTGGCATTCACTTTCTTTGCTAATATCATTTTCTTTGAAAATATTGAGGAAGCCTAATTAGCAATGTATGTGAAAATATTAAAAATTTAAAATATTAGAAAAATGAGCTATTATACAAGATGTATTTAGCCATCTCTATAATATTGGAAATATTGGATATTAGTTTAAAATAACCAATAATCAAATATCCAGTTATTGGTTGCATAATATCAGTCAATCACTAATATAAATAATTGTAGCTAATAGATTGGCTAATTGACTCTGATAACCGATGAATTATTTGTCAATTGTACTGATTATTTCTTTTTTTAATAATGTGTTGAATTCTATGTGCTGTAAGTCTGCATAGACTTACTCACTCACTTTCTCAGACAATTTTTTGTTTATAGCATAGTTTATATGGATTAATCCCAAAAAATTATACGTGTTTGGAAATGTTGAGTCAAATTAGTCTAGAATTGATTAATTTTATGGAAGAAAACCTTTCAAATAGCCATAGTCCGTAAACTGCGCTCGTGCCAGGCTGTGATTGGCTCATATATTTAAGGATTCCTACAATGTGAAATTCTTATAAAGTGGAATGTATCTATCGCGTTATAGGGGGTCGATTGTACTGTATTTGGCAACACTAGTATGATGCGAATCAATTATCTGTAATTGTGAGTCTGGCAAATTTTTAGTACAAATATTTTCTGTATTTTGGTTTAATAAAGATTAAAATAGGTACCTAATTATTATTTTTTACTTATTTATTTACCTACGTATTACATATTTTATTTTAGAATTTATTATTAGTTCATTTAATTGGGGCAGCCACTTAATTTGGCCAAAATGGATTAGTCCCAACATGTCCCAATTAAGTAGAATCGACTGTACTAGAATTTACAAAATAATACATTATACATGCAGGTTTATAGTTCTCTGTCAAACTCCATTACAATAATTAAAGAAAACATTTTTACAAATAGCAAAAAGTTTTAAGTTTTGTTTAGGTTTTTTCAAAAATTAGATACAATTTTTAATATTACTGTATATTATGTTTCACTTTAAGATGATAAGAATTATAAATTTGAATTCATTTTGTGAAATTTTCTAAATGTTTCTGAATTACATTTATTAATTCATTATTTGTAATTCTGTTTTCTTAGTTAATAAGTGTAAAAATTTTACATTTTGAAATTGAAAGTATTTGTGATATTTTTGTTGTTTATAAAATTATTAAACTAATCCAAAATATGAATATATTTTTTTTATAGATCCAACAAAAGCAACATTGCTATTGACCACAGAATCAGAAATAATAAGATATTTTCTTTGTAACAACAGTCAGATTACTGTGTTATCTGGATATTCAAGAATTACCTATGTTGATTACTATCATACATCTATGGCTGATCTTTTGTTTTGGGTAGATACAGAAAAAAAGAAAATATTTAGAGGAGTGTTAAAAGATGCAGGTATAAGATTTTACATTTAAAATGAATATTAAAATATAATGTATTCTATGAATTTGCATTTTAAAATTTTACTTGTTATTATTTTCAGCTATTGAAAGTATTCATATTATTGTAGAAGAAGGTTTGGGTATGATAGAAGGTCTCTGTGTTGATTGGATTGGTCATAATTTGTATTGGGTAGACAGTGAATATCATCATATTGAAGTGGCAAAATTTGATGGTAGCATGAGAACATCACTAATAGATGGTGTTACACGACCAAAAAGTATTGCAGTAGATCCTCATGTTGGGTAGGATTTCAGATTATTATATTTATAAAATGTAATGCCTAAACAATTATTATTGAATCTAATAATAATAATTACAGATGACAATATAATTGAAAAATATTTTTGTCATTCAATTTATATTTTAATTCTTAGTAATTTACAGTACATTACAATAACATAGACTTTGGCAAAACATTCAGAATTATTCTACATAAGTAAGATGAGAAGAAATGAAAATGTGTAAACTTTCATTTATGTATATTAATGTCAGTGATAAATGTATTTGATAATATTACTGCCATTAAGCCTGATGAACAATTTAGTTATTATTGTTGCAAAGTGACCAACTTTGAAATTAATGTAGTTTAGTTTGAAATTATTTTAAAGTCAGTAATAATATTTGAATATCTGATTGACAAATATAAACACCTACTGAAACGCAATGCTTAGCAAATAGACACCCACAATTGCCGTAAATAATCTGGCTATATTTTGGAAATAATAATTATGAATTATTATTTCCAAAATAGTTGTTATTATTTCAAAATATTTCCAATTAACACCTCCTTCTAGTGCCAAATTTTTTTGTAATTCATAATTGTTATTTCCAAAATATAGTCCGATTATTTACAGCAATTGTAGCAATTAAATATCTGATTGTTTTTCTATTTTAAAAAAAATCTAAAATACAAAATTTCTCTGATTTAAATTTCTTTTTGTCTGGTGTGATTTTTTGCAAATGGGAGTTTTGCAAAATTACAATCACAAAAATGTTTAGCCTAACCATTAAGAGATTAATAGAACTGTGTTTTCTATAAGTTAAAAATATGACAATTTTTACAAAAGTATTTGTTAAGCATTACTTGTTGAGAATCATGTATAAAAAATTTATTAATATCAAATTACATTTTTACTTTACTTTTTTAATCAGATTTTTGTTTTGGGCTGATCGATCAGAAAATGGCTCTGTCATAGAAAGAAGTTTGACAAATGGTTATCAACGCCATATTATTATTCAATGTGCTCAAAATGGTTGGCCTACTGGAATTACCTTGGATATTACAACACAGTATATTTATTGGGTAGACTCTAGGTTAGTAATTTTGAAAATAGAAAATGTTATTTTATAATAATGGTGAAATTTTGTTCTGAATTTAAATTCAGAAATAAATATTAAAGTTGCCTTATAAATATTTAAATAATATGATAAATTAATAAAAGATTTATATAAAACCAGTAACTAGATAATGCTTTGTGATTATTGTAACACTTTCATTCACTTGTTTCTGTCATTTTGTTTATTTATTTTAATAACTTTTCGATTCTTTAAATTTTAAAATAATTATAATTTAGTGCTTTTTTTGGAACAGTGCTTCTACTATTCTGTCAAAAGACTTAATACATTCACCTTCTTTTATCTAGAATAAACATCTGTTTGTTATTTTTCAGTTTATATTTTCACTTTTCTAATATATGCTACATGCTCTAATATATACCCTTGCTTAATGCAGGATTTGATTAACATATAAAATTAATTGTGGCACTCCCTTTATATATGTGGCAGAGGTTTTAATTAATGCAGCTTTACCAGCTGTCTTTACTTGCTATAGCTACTGTATTTGATTAATGCAGTTTTGATATACACAGTAGCATTGAGGGATTAATAAACCGCATTAATCAAGGGATTTGATTAACATATCCTGTATTAATAATTTTTCCTTTAAAAATTAGCTTTTTGTAGAATTTTTTTCAGGTCTGCATGAAATAACTTTGATCTAATCTGTTTACTTTTGAGTTTGAAAATAATAAAACTAAATTTAATCAATAAGACTTTTCTAATTCCAAAGTTTTTAAGTGATTAATAGACTACTAGTTATAATTGAAGCAATAATCTTTTGCTTTCTAATTTGTTGCTCAATGGACAAGGACTTATTTAGCTATTAGAGCTGTTTTAACTGATAATAATGTTAATGGGTGAAAATTAACTTTATAGATAGTTAAAGAATTCAACCATAAAACTAGTCTTTAACATTTCACAAAATTTAATAAAACTGTAAATAAAATGGTTTACATCACTGTAATAATAAATGTTAACTTTTAAATTTTTTTCCTAAAAATTTCAGGTATATTTACCACAATAGTTTATTATATATTCCCTTATCTGTTTAAGTTGTATTGTTATATTACTGATAATAAATGTGTAATTATGGTTGATTATATGCTTATTTCAATGTTTGTTATAATTTACAAAATTGGAAAGTATTTTCATTAAATATACAGATGTCTTTAGTTATGCTTAACTAGCTGTTACCCACTTTATATTTTTTTTTATACATGAATTTCGAGTATTACAGGTTGGCAACATTGAATTAACAAGAAAGATCGTGGAAAACACGTGTTACTTTCGTAGTATGTGCTGTTTCGAATAGTTATCATGGCCAAATTTCATAAGAAACAAAGCAAGCGTATGACTTGTAGAAGGAAGTATAAAATACAAAGAAAAGTAAGAGAACATAATAGAAAAATGAAAAAAGAAGCCAGAAAGAAGAAAAATCGAGGTAAAAAGAAGGATCCTGGTATACCTAATAGCTTACCATTTAAAGAAAAAATTCTTCAAGAAATTGAAGAACATAAAAAAAATAAGGAAATAAACAAAATTGAAAAAATGGATTCTTCTACAACTAAAACTCTAATAGATCTTCAAGATGATGCCATGAAAAGATCGGAAGATTATGCAAATATGGTAATGTAACTTTTATTGTACATAAAATAATTGAAATAATAAAAGGAATGAAATAATATAGTAATAAATTTCTTAGAATGATTAATTCTTGAAATATTATCACAAATCACGGATCAGCAGTTTTTATGATTACTGTACCAAAGGTAAAAACAATGCAGTGGTTCTACATGCCAGTGTTATTCTGCAGAAAGATCTACACCTAATTTCCTAATATTTAAAAAATACTATGTTTAGATTAAAATAGTTTAATCTAATCATTTTTTAAACCATAGAAATAAATTGATAGATTTTATTTTATGAATTATCAATTTGTTGTTATTAATAAGAATAAACTTTCTCACAGGAAAGTACATAATTTTGAAGAAAAGAATGTGTTACAAATATTTTGATACAAAATGTAATGAGAAAAAATATTCATATTTCTGTTGTCTGGTGTAGTTATTTACATAACAGTTATTGATTAAACAAGTATTGAAAGAGTAATAAATTGATCTCAGGAGGGATCCGTATAAATTATTCTATTCTATTATACCAACTTAAGTATCATAAATGTATAAGATTTCCTAAAGCTTGATGCTTCATATGAAGGAACTATGTTGAATAAATTTCATTTAATCTAAACATAGTACATGAAATCTTGAAATAGTTATGTGGTTATGGGGATGTACGACAAAAATAATAACAAAAATAGAAGTTTGGTTTGAATTGTTGGTGAATTTTGAATGTAATATTTAAGTGTCCTTTTTCGACTCTGTTTTTTTCTGCACCCTAGTTCTGATGTATGCTGTTAGATTACTAACTCTTGTTGTAAATCATCAAAAATTGTTGTGGAAAACTAATCTTAATTTTTAAACAATTGAAAAAGTTTAATAAATGTTATTTGCTTTAAATATTATTTTCATATGTATTCATTTTATTTTGTTATTTTTTTGAAGGTGAATTTACAAAATATATCTAAAGAAAGTGAAATTGAAAAAAGTGATATGGAAAAGATTCAGAGAGATCATAAATTTTATAAAGAATTCTATCAGGTATTATTTTTTTAATTTCTAATTTTTCATATGTATATCTATACTAATATTATAAAGAGGTAATGTTTGTAAGTATGTATGTAAGTTTGTTTGCAGCAGGTAATCTCCAAAACTACTCATTCGATTTCAAAAATTCTTTCACCAATATTTAGAATGGAACCTCAGGGTGGACATAGGCTGTATATTATTCTGTTAAATATTCATATAAATTAAAATATATAATCTAGGTTAAGGCTTTTATGTCCAACAGATGGCGCTACGAGTATGACACCCTAAGTTTGCTTTTCTGTGAAAATGAGCTAAAGCAGATTATCTTCTGTCTATCTATATAAATAAAAATGTAATGTTCGTTTGTTCCTACCGATTCCTTTGAAATTTTGACACAATGCTGCATTTGAATACGCACATGTTTTTATATAATATATGTGTCGAAATTCCCCCCACTGAAGGGAGATGGTTAGGATTAAGGCTTACCGTAAAGAACTTTGCTTCTATTTATACTATTTTAGATGCGGTTTTTTGCGTTTTTGATTGCATTTTAATAGGGTACGTCAACAGAATGTACACTAAGAAGAAATTTTTCGAAAAATTCCCCCCACGGGGAAGTGTTACAAATTTATAATAGATACATTGTGAGCCACAACAACGCATGGCGGGGTCTGCTAGTACAATATATAAAGGAATAAGCGTTGAAAAATGTCATACATAGCCAATCAGTGTTTCATCTATGGCATGTGATCTGTCTTCTGCCAATCATATTAATCTGATTAAATTCAGTTTACTGGAGGACAATGATTCAGTGCCAGCATTTCTCTCTTCAAAGATCTAATTGATGATTTTGAGTAATTACTGCACATTTTGAAAATGTTTTCATTATATACTTACATTTCTAAAGATCCTTATAATTATTTAACTGTAAGAAAAACAAATGCAATCCACATTGAGACAAAAGGAAGACACAGATTTCATGTATATATTAGTGGTGTCTGCATGCCTGCTAGTTTAATAGAACATATTAAACAGGCTTATAATCCATTGTAGATATTTCTTTAGTTTTTATCAGTACATACAGAATCTTATAACTTTATAGATTAATGTCTGTATATTTATTGGGTACATTGATAAAGCTGCTTAAAGCAACTTTGTTAAAAAACAGTTAAGTAACTTCTGCTTTAAGTTAGCTACTGCAGTGTAATTGCAGTTAGATTTGGAAATGTTAAAGACAAAATTTAAGATGGCTGTTGTGAAATACAAATGATTTGTAAAATATTTGACTGGGAAATGAATATCATTGGTTGCTTTTGATAATTTTTTTTAACATCAGCTGAAGTTTTGTATCTTTCTAAGTAAATATTTTGGTGTTAGATTTAGAAATATATCGCATCATAAGTTACATCAAATTTCTTTGTTAGTTGCCAGATATAAAAAGTCTCAAATTCACAAAGCACTTGAACATTTAAAGCAATGAAAAAACAACTTAAATTGCTTAAAGCAATCTCCTACAGCTTAACTGAAGCAGTTTTGCCAATTAGTGCACCAATTATGATTCCAAAATATTTTGAAAAACTGTATATTCAAGTGTATTTAAGCTATTTAGTTTCCATTAAATATAGAACTACTATTATATTTAATAGTAATTTTGAAATATAAATTGACATACATTGGCAAAGAGGCAAGTTAAAATACTTAAATAATTATGTAATCGTTAGTTCTTACCACATTGCACTCTTGTTACATATTGGTGCATGTAGATACCACTTTTATACAGCCTGTTCAGGATCCATTTTAGTATTTTTAAATTGAAAAACATTGAAATTATCATTCACTACAATTTCATAATTGTCATTGAAGCTGTATTTCCATTAGGGGCAGAGTGCTTTCATTTCACATAACCTAAGGAGGCAGAGGTAGATGATGACACTATTTGTTAATTAATTAATTAATGCATGCTTTTACTTCATATAATACATGTTAGCGAAAGGATCAAGATTGGTGCATCATTCCTTAATGAAATAATTGTCTGTGGAAAGACTATTTCCACCACTTGCTCTATTAGTTCTTAGCAAATTTGAATTAGATTCTCTTTATCAGAAGCTTTCTTTCAGTTTTTTTAATGTAGATGTATAAACTAGAATATCATCGAGTTTGTAAACTCTAAAATAAGAAAATATGGAACCATTTTTTATCTTTATTATTATTCATTTGATTTAAATTAAAATTCAAAGTAAATAGTTAATACTAATCTTTAATAACAATTGATAATTAATCAGGTCTGAATTTTTTATAAAATTACACTAACTTAATACAGTAGAGTGTTGATTTTCCAAAAGTCAATCATCCGAAACGTCAATCATCCGAAAGAATTCCAGTCGGCAAATTTAAATTTTCGCCAGTGCTGTGGCGCTTCAATCTTTGGCTATGTCTTGGGCTACTCAAATATTTTACGTTTTTGATACTAAATTAACATCTGAAGTATAATTTTTTATTATTTTTATATTTTTCAATATATTTATTTTGTTTGTACAAAATAAAAAAATAATTTTTAACGATACAATAGTCTTTGTTAGGCTTAACATCGACGAAAATTCAACGCGAAGCGACATGCAACAGAGAAAAATTTCAACATCGGATACGTTAAACTATTTTTTCGTACATAAATCAGTTATCCGAAATATCAGTTATACGAACAACCCTAGTCCCCAATTGATTCGGAAAATCGACGCTCTACTGTAATTTCTAAGATTATTGAAAGACAAATATTTATGTAGGTTGTTGAATCGGCCGACGTAATCTTGCATGTGTTGGATGCAAGAGATCCTTTGAATACTCGCTGTTCTCAGGTGGAAAAGGCAGTTATCAACAGTGGAACAAACAAAAAGTTAATTCTTATACTAAATAAAATTGGTATGTGAATTTTTAATATAATTTTTTTAATTGGAGAAGATTTTGGTATATTTCAAAAGAATTTTTAAATGTGCTTTGACTCGTGGTAAAATCAAAAATACAATGAACTTGTACAATTAATGTAATAAAAGTATTTACAGAAAACCATCTTCAAAGTAAGCTCCTTCTGCAACTACACATTTCTGCCAGTGTCCATATCACTTGTCTAAAGCTCTAGAGCAGGGATGGCAAACTTTTTTGAGTCCACGTGCCATACAGTATATACTTATTTTTAAAAATGTTTGTGTGTGCTGAAGATAAAAAGTTTGAGTAATGATATTTAAATAAATGAAATGAATATGCTTTAATTAGAGTATATATAAAAAAGCTGACCAAAAAAGAATGATCATATGATAAACTGAAAGAATGATTAAAACATATAGGTGATAAACCAAAATTGTAAGATACAGGTAACCCCCATATAACATGGTAGTTACGTTCCAAAAAATTGCCGTGTTATGCGAAACAAAGAGCTAGTACGAAAAGGAGGGTTAGGTTCCAAAAATTAAAAAACATGCTATTATATTTTCATAATTAAGATAAATATCTCTATTAAAATTTTTTAAAGAAGTTATACATATTAATATAAATTAAACAATATTTTCTTCATCAGCACTAAGCACTGTTAACCGAGGGCGTTTTATTTTTTACAAGATATCCTTATTCTCTGAGCATTTTTCTGCATTATGTTCATATCTATGCTCTACCTTTTGCAAAAAATGTGTTATTTTACATTGCTTGCTTTTAGATAAAAGATCTGTATAAATTTCTTTATATGGTGCTAACCACTTATGAAGTTCTCTTTTGAACTTTGTGCTCCTTTCATTTGAAAGATCTTCATTTAAGAAATATGACTCTAACTGTTCGGCTAATCCTAAATCTTTCTTTATGCTTTGTAGAGTAAACTTTTTAACTTCTTTGTCTTCATCTGTGCTATCATCCTCTGAGTTATCATGGATTCCAGATATCATTTCTACCAAACCTGTTCTTCCACCAGTAATTCTTGGATATCTTGTGCAGTCATATCGTCAAAACCTTCTCCTTCTAGAGACTTAGCAATTTCTACTACCTTATCCATTCTGTTTTCTGCTGTCTCGATCAAATTTTCATTTTATGACTCCGGCCATATTTTTCTCCAACATCCATTTAATGTCATCGGTTTTATTTCTCTGATGGATGAGTTTATTAGATTAATGCAGTCCAAAATTGTGAAGAGTTTCCACGCCTCCTTAACGTCCATAGATTCATCATCGATTTTATTCAAAATCCATTGTAATGATCTCCTTATATAATTGGTTTTAAATGTAGCTATAATTCCCTGATCTAATGGTTGAAGTAAAGCAGTTGTATTTGGAGGTAAAAAAGTTATTTTGATATTTCGATGATTTAAATCTTGCGGATGGCTGGGTGCATTATCCAATATAAGTAGAACTTTAAAATCTAAATTTTTCTGTTTTAAGTAGTTTTCCACACTTGGTACAAAACAGTTTAAAAACCATTTCTTAAATAATTCAGTAGTCACCCAAGCTTTTCTATTTGCTGCCCAGTATACAGGTAAATTACTCTTATTCAGGTTTTTCATTGCACGAGGATTGAGAGATTTATAAACCAGCATAGGTTTTACCATGTAATCGCCTGAAGCATTACTGCACATAAGTAATGTTACACGGTCTTTTGATACCTTGAAACCTGGCGCAACTTTTTCATCTTTAGAAATATATGTCCTCTTGGGCATTTTTTCCACCAATGAGCAGTCTCATCGGCATTAAAAACCTGATGTGTTGAATATCCACCCTCTTCAATAATTCTTTTTAATTCCATTGGATAAATTTTGGCGGCTTCTTTATCGGCTTTCACCCTCTATTTTTAGGTTTTGTAGTGATAAGCGTTTTCTCATACGATCAAACCACCCTTTGCTGGCTACAAAATCTGGATTAGTAGCAGTTTCTCCATTTTCCTTTAAGTAGTAGTAAATTTTCAAGGCTTTGTGTTTAATAATATTGGTGCTCAGTGGAATCTGCTTTTTTGAACAGTCTTCAATCCAGATGCTAAGGGCTTTTTTCATCTGTTCAATTATTGCTGCCCTAGGACGAGATGTCATGTTTGAGGAGATAGAACAGCCTACAGCAATGGAATCTAATTTTCTGTTCATTTTTCCTTATAGTCCGTATTGTTGCTTCATTTAAATCCAATGATTTGGCGACATATGATATCTTTTTGCCCTTTTTGAGCCGATCTAAAATTTGTAATTTTGTTTGTAAGGAGATGAAATGTCTTTTAACAGACATTTTTTCATTTTTGTCAGACATGGCTTAGTGCTACAGATTCATAAAAATATAAACATAATTATTATTTCTTTAAAAAAGGTTGAGTACAATACTACAGTACTGTACTTACCTGAAAATTTTTATTCTACATAGCCAGAAAAGAGACACAATTAAAGTTTTAAAGTATACTTGTAAAGGTGTGGATTGTCCCAAGGGTCAGAGGCGGGGTTCAATGCCTAAAAACCACTGACAGAATAAAGCAAGTACTTAACTATGTAAATTTTCTTTTCCTGCCTACTGTCAATATACGTGTTATTTCTCAAAACTTGTCTCAGTGTTGCCAGATCTCGATGCTTCTGCTTTTGATGTTGCCAAATGTTTTTCTCTTATTCCATACTAATATTTCATGAAAATTATGCAGGAAAATCTGATAGTACGTACGCGCTCAAATGAAAAATGTCAAATGAGGTATCTTTCGCACTAAAAGCTTTATCACGTTGTACAGGGATTTCCCTAATTTCAAATTAGATAAAGTTCGCTTTTAATAGTTTTAATTACATTTCATGTACGACGGTTTTACCCAATTTTCGAACTGTGTCAGAGTGAATCCGTGCTATAGAAGTGCCGTGTTATACGGGGGATGGTACCAATTCTGGAACCGTGTTAGAGTGAATCCGTGCTATAGAAGTGCCGTGTTATACGGGGGATGGTACCAATTCTTGAACCATGTTAGAGTGAATCCGTGCTGTAGAAGTGCCGTGTTATACGGGGGTTACCTGTACATTCATTACATGCCAGATGATGATTTCCAGTGTGCCACAGGTTCACCACCTCTGCTTTATAGGCTGGTTTTTGTGATGTCTTTGAGGGCTGTTATCAGTTATAGTCTCCATATTTGGTTTAATTGGTTATTCTTGAATAGTGAATATCTGAGAAAGAAGGACGTTACAATGCTTTTTCAATTTTTTTACTTCCTTGATCCTTTACTCCTGAATATTACTATTGAAAACTTTTTATCTGTTTATCTGTTCCCAAAAATGAAAGATAAGTTGAAGAATAAAAGTTTCAATTAGCAGAGATAGAAATCGAAGCAATGAAAACTGATAAAGACATCAAAAAGTAACTTTTAGAATTCTTCTGACAATTAATATGAACCGAAATGTGTAGCTACAACAAAATTTATTTTGAAAATAGTGTGGTGTGAAAATGTTGCATAATAAAACCTGTGCCAAAAGTTCAATTTATTTTTGACTTATGTATATGACCATTATTTCTATAATTTAGACTTGCTGATGTTTTACTGTTTATCTTTTTGAAAAATTGGCATAGCGTTAAATCTTAATCTGTTGGAGTTTTCATTTCAAAGGAATTCAAACTGTTTCTGACAGAATATTATGCTTTTTCCTACAGGATATTATTATTTATTCATCCATCTGGTTAAAAAACATTGCTGTAAGAGCTTATTAATTAATTTCAGCTGATAGAAGTTGAGACAAGATATATTAGCACATATTGTACGACAAGCTTGATCAACTAAATTGGAATAAAAATATTTTGATGTAGATTGTATAGTAAGTTCAACTTTTAAATTGTATGTATTGCTATCCTGTGAAAAGAACTTTATTTACAGGCTGATTTTAAAAAATCCTACAGCACTTTATATCCAGAATTAATAAAAGAAACTATTGGTGTTATATTCACCAGAAAAAACAAAAACCTGATACCTTTAACTTTGTTTATAAACAATCATATGGAAATTGTTTGATGTTGAAAATCATCAAATTTAATAATGTTTGATTATTTCTATCAATAATTATGTATACTGAGTGGCCAATTTATTATGACTATCTATTCAGTACATTGTTAGGTCACCTTTTGCTCACAATACCGCTGCAATTCTCTTTTTCATGGACACTACAAAATGTTGGTAAGTGGCTGGAGAAATTCGATGCCATATCTGATAAATTACGTTTTCTCATTCACTAAAAATGAATGGTTCTGGATCTGGCTGGATTCTTCATTATTCAAATGCCAGCATAGGACTGTGATCTTTTAAACACACACACTCACCAGACTATATTCTAAAAGTCTACATCTACATGCTTTATGGAGAACTGGTCTCAAACATTCTATGTTTAAGAACTAAATATTGTTTGATTCTGCAGATTTATTAATGCATCATCCAAACAGGTTTTCCTGTCAATAGCAGACAAATAGGTTGAAATCCAAATAACATTCAAATTGATTAGCTGTTAAAAAACCATTATTTTAATATGTAAAAGAATATTCTATTTTAAGTATTAAAAATTTTGTTGTTATGAAATACATTTTAGCATAAATTATTCATAGATATTATTTATATCTTTGCATCAGATTTTATTGTTGTTACTTTCCTGGCTGCTATTTATATAACACGGGGAAAATATTGTAATCATGTGAAAGTTGACATAAATCTTGACTTTTTGAGACTCATAAAAAAAAAAAAAAAGGAGCATAGTGAGTTGGCAACTATTTCAATTACTATCTCAGGATGAGGTAAAGATTAAGAACAAATTTGGTATGATAACTTGTATATAAGGAGCATCAATACTGTTAAATTTTGGTGGTTAATGGTTGAGGGGGTGGGGAGATATATAGGAGTTACGTGTCATATCTTTGGTGGATTGGACTTAATAAAAATTTTAATCATAAGAATTAAAATTTTTATTGGTGTTTATGATATTTTTAAAAACTTGTCTAACTTCAAAATTAAGCCTTTGCCATTTTGTTATAATTAACAATATAAAAGTTATTTTTTAAATAAAACCTTATAGTTGGTATAACACACACTTTTAAACTTTGCTAATGTGTTTCTTAAATGTTTTTGGCAGGAAAGTTATGCAACTCATTGCTGGATATTTTTTAAAATGTGCTATTGCATAAGATATTTTTAATCTCTAGAAAAATGCTTACCTTATAATTAGAAATTAATACTTTCAATATATATTAGTTGTGTTAACCATAAATACTGTTATAAAATGATGTAAGAAATAAATTCTTTAAAATGATTTGTATATATTTTTGAAATTTTCCACACTATTTTTAGATCTTATTCCACGTGATAATTTGTTGCAATGGTTGAAATATTTAAGAAATGAATTACCCACAGTAGCTTTTAAAGCAAGTACTCAAGATCAAAATGACAATTTGGTATGTAAACAGTTATGATTTATAAATACTTAAAAATTGTTCATTTTTATATTATTTTATCTATAATGCAATATGATGTGAATAATATGCTTACTAATTAATATGCATCAATGTCCTTAATTTAAACAAATTATTCTTTCAATCACCATAACAGGAATGTTTTAAAATTGATATTGTAATTGGAATGAACTATTGGAGGAAAACTAGAATAGAAAGAAAGAATATCAAAATAGTATGAATTTTATAAGTTATTATTGTAGGCATAAAAATTTTAAAAATATTGTCGGTAAATTATGTTTGTTTATTGTTTGAATTTTATTTATTTAGAATTTGTTTGTTAAATACCTGCTGAAGAGGGACAAACAAGTCCGAAACGCAATTTGTATGTGTTCAGGTAATTGTAAATAAAACAATTTTAATCTGTGTGACTGTGTTGCTGTAATCTTATACACCAGTGTGATAATAGAAATACGCTGTTATGGTGATTGAAAGAATAATATGCTTACTATTTGTGCAAACAGTATATATACGATAGAATGCTATTCAAAATGATTTGTCCAATTTTGGATGATTTTGTACCCATTGACCACACATTAACTAGGTATGTGCAAATCAAATGGGAAATCTCTGAATTTTAGAAGGTCGCCACAAGACTGCTTTGCGACAGTATGCAAGAGAAGGTGGGTGACTGTGACATAAGGCTTTTGCCTTCTTGTGGCATGCTACAATCTTTGAGGTCTGAATTGATAGTCACGGCGGAGTGAGTTTTGTCCGTGTTTTGGAATTGATTTGCAGGGTGCTTGGAGCATCTATGGATGCTATTGGCAGTTAAAGAAAATGGAATGTTTGTATAAAGGTGTGAGCATGTGTGAACATTCGTGCACATCCGAGGATAATGCATAAAGAATTGGAAAGAGTTTGCTACATGGCCTGAGGAAGTCAACTAAGTGTGCCAGTCGAGAATTGCAATATATCTTGGATGACTGTTTGGCACATTTTGGGCTCAATTACAAACTGTAAGGATTGCAAGCATTGAAGGCTGTAAGTCTGGATGGCAAGTTAAAGCAATTGAACTTTTGTCAAATTATGCAAGAGGTTATGGTATATGATAATTTTGCTCTTCATCTGGTATTGAATGATGAAACAATTTTTCATTTAAGTGGCAAGGTTAACTGTTACAACTTTGCATATCAAGTATGTTAAATCCACATGTGGCAGTCAGACCAGGATTTTTTGGTTTCAAATGCTCGGACTCCTACTCGTTGAACCTTTTTACTTTTACTTGAATTGAAGACTCGATCTAAAACTCATCAAGTCTGATTCCAAAGTTCATATATTTTAACATTAAATAGAAGTCATTAATAAAGATGTAAGAGTAAGAAAACAAAACATAATTAGTAAATATTAAATGATAAGGTGTTAAAACGTCGACGTTACATAGAAAACATTTAGTTAATAAACTTATAAAAGTATTATTGACATACAGCGAATTTTTGTTTAGACGAAGTTGCATTATAAGTCGTTTTATATTCAAATTTACTGGTTGCCATATATATGGTTGCATTGAAGGAATTTCAAATATTTCCAAGTACCACGGATGATATTTACTGTTGTATAGGGAATTCTGATCTTTAATTATAGATTGAGCTATAGCTGATTCTAACATCAATGAGTATCCTGATTTCCAATCTTGAATTTTGTCCTTGAATAATAGATCTGATACTCCAAAGGAGTTAAAAATAGTTTGCAACTTATTATACCATAGTTGTTTATTTTTTTGTAGTTTACTTTGTCTTATATTTTCTTGATATAAAGTAGTTAAATTGTTATCACCGTTGAAATTAAGTTTATAAAAAAATTTGATAATTCGCTTTAATATAAACGGAAATAACCATATTCGATTCGTTTCGTGACGTAGTGCATATCCTGGTACTGTTCTTTCTATGTGAAATAGTCTGCGTAGATAATATATGTGGAATTGTTCGAGATGGTAGATATAGTCCAAGCACCAAATAGGGCTAGCATAAAATAACATTGNATAATGTTTGATTATTTCTATCAATAATTATGTATACTGAGTGGCCAATTTATTATGACTATCTATTCAGTACATTGTTAGGTCACCTTTTGCTCACAATACCGCTGCAATTCTCTTTTTCATGGACACTACAAAATGTTGGTAAGTGGCTGGAGAAATTCGATGCCATATCTGATAAATTACGTTTTCTCATTCACTAAAAATGAATGGTTCTGGATCTGGCTGGATTCTTCATTATTCAAATGCCAGCATAGGACTGTGATCTTTTAAACACACACACTCACCAGACTATATTCTAAAAGTCTACATCTACATGCTTTATGGAGAACTGGTCTCAAACATTCTTTGTTTAAGAACTAAATATTGTTTGATTCTGCAGATTTATTAATGCATCATCCAAACAGGTTTTCCTGTCAATAGCAGACAAATAGGTTGAAATCCAAATAACATTCAAATTGATTAGCTGTTAAAAAACCATTATTTTAATATGTAAAAGAATATTCTATTTTAAGTATTAAAAATTTTGTTGTTATGAAATACATTTTAGCATAAATTATTCATAGATATTATTTATATCTTTGCATCAGATTTTATTGTTGTTACTTTCCTGGCTGCTATTTATATAACACGGGGAAAATATTGTAATCATGTGAAAGTTGACATAAATCTTGACTTTTTGAGACTCATAAAAAAAAAAAAAAAGGAGCATAGTGAGTTGGCAACTATTTCAATTACTATCTCAGGATGAGGTAAAGATTAAGAACAAATTTGGTATGATAACTTGTATATAAGGAGCATCAATACTGTTAAATTTTGGTGGTTAATGGTTGAGGGGGTGGGGAGATATATAGGAGTTACGTGTCATATCTTTGGTGGATTGGACTTAATAAAAATTTTAATCATAAGAATTAAAATTTTTATTGGTGTTTATGATATTTTTAAAAACTTGTCTAACTTCAAAATTAAGCCTTTGCCATTTTGTTATAATTAACAATATAAAAGTTATTTTTTAAATAAAATCTTATAGTTGGTATAACACACACTTTTAAACTTTGCTAATGTGTTTCTTAAATGTTTTTGGCAGGAAAGTTATGCAACTCATTGCTGGATATTTTTTAAAATGTGCTATTGCATAAGATATTTTTAATCTCTAGAAAAATGCTTACCTTATAATTAGAAATTAATACTTTCAATATATATTAGTTGTGTTAACCATAAATACTGTTATAAAATGATGTAAGAAATAAATTCTTTAAAATGATTTGTATATATTTTTGAAATTTTCCACACTATTTTTAGATCTTATTCCACGTGATAATTTGTTGCAATGGTTGAAATATTTAAGAAATGAATTACCCACAGTAGCTTTTAAAGCAAGTACTCAAGATCAAAATGACAATTTGGTATGTAAACAGTTATGATTTATAAATACTTAAAAATTGTTCATTTTTATATTATTTTATCTATAATGCAATATGATGTGAATAATATGCTTACTAATTAATATGCATCAATGTCCTTAATTTAAACAAATTATTCTTTCAATCACCATAACAGGAATGTTTTAAAATTGATATTGTAATTGGAATGAACTATTGGAGGAAAACTAGAATAGAAAGAAAGAATATCAAAATAGTATGAATTTTATAAGTTATTATTGTAGGCATAAAAATTTTAAAAATATTGTCGGTAAATTATGTTTGTTTATTGTTTGAATTTTATTTATTTAGAATTTGTTTGTTAAATACCTGCTGAAGAGGGACAAACAAGTCCGAAACGCAATTTGTATGTGTTCAGGTAATTGTAAATAAAACAATTTTAATCTGTGTGACTGTGTTGCTGTAATCTTATACACCAGTGTGATAATAGAAATACGCTGTTATGGTGATTGAAAGAATAATATGCTTACTATTTGTGCAAACAGTATATATACGATAGAATGCTATTCAAAATGATTTGTCCAATTTTGGATGATTTTGTACCCATTGACCACACATTAACTAGGTATGTGCAAATCAAATGGGAAATCTCTGAATTTTAGAAGGTCGCCACAAGACTGCTTTGCGACAGTATGCAAGAGAAGGTGGGTGACTGTGACATAAGGCTTTTGCCTTCTTGTGGCATGCTACAATCTTTGAGGTCTGAATTGATAGTCACGGCGGAGTGAGTTTTGTCCGTGTTTTGGAATTGATTTGCAGGGTGCTTGGAGCATCTATGGATGCTATTGGCAGTTAAAGAAAATGGAATGTTTGTATAAAGGTGTGAGCATGTGTGAACATTCGTGCACATCCGAGGATAATGCATAAAGAATTGGAAAGAGTTTGCTACATGGCCTGAGGAAGTCAACTAAGTGTGCCAGTCGAGAATTGCAATATATCTTGGATGACTGTTTGGCACATTTTGGGCTCAATTACAAACTGTAAGGATTGCAAGCATTGAAGGCTGTAAGTCTGGATGGCAAGTTAAAGCAATTGAACTTTTGTCAAATTATGCAAGAGGTTATGGTATATGATAATTTTGCTCTTCATCTGGTATTGAATGATGAAACAATTTTTCATTTAAGTGGCAAGGTTAACTGTTACAACTTTGCATATCAAGTATGTTAAATCCACATGTGGCAGTCAGACCAGGATTTTTTGGTTTCAAATGCTCGGACTCCTACTCGTTGAACCTTTTTACTTTTACTTGAATTGAAGACTCGATCTAAAACTCATCAAGTCTGATTCCAAAGTTCATATATTTTAACATTAAATAGAAGTCATTAATAAAGATGTAAGAGTAAGAAAACAAAACATAATTAGTAAATATTAAATGATAAGGTGTTAAAACGTCGACGTTACATAGAAAACATTTAGTTAATAAACTTATATAAGTATTATTGACATACAGCGAATTTTTGTTTAGACGAAGTTGCATTATAAGTCGTTTTATATTCAAATTTACTGGTTGCCATATATATGGT